CTTGGTAGTCAGGATGACGCTTCAGGAGGTGATGGACTTGATTAGTATAGCCATTACCGCTCTTGTATACCTTTTGACAGGTGTTGCGGCAGGCCTGGTTAGGTGCGAGCTCAATGAAGAGCAAAGAATGGAGATCCTTGTTTGAAAACTTCATGATGGACGTTGTTGGAGTTAAAAGGCTTTAATAGAGTGCTGAATAGAGCAAATACGTAAGTGAGAGAAGTGTGAAGCTAGCAACACGTTCGCGAGACCCGCGAATTCTCAGCCAGACCGTTATGATTGGTAGAGAGTGATACTATAATTTTTCATAAATGGCAAGAATATGCTAAAATATAGGTGAATAATAATTCCATTGTAAATATGATAATGTATTTATAATTATATACTCAAGTGGGGAGGCCTGTCTGACAGGCATCTGTTGCTCTAACACGTGAAATCGATTTGGATTGGTACGTTTAAACAAACTAACGCGAAAAAAAAACGCTTTTTGTCAAGAATTTTCTGGCTGAAATGTTTTTAAACCAATAGAAGATCCACCACGAAACACTAAAGAGATATAAAGGCTGATCTGAGCAGTAGCATCGTGCTGACTACACTACCGAAACCCAATTCTGGTGTCGTCGACGATATACCGGGCTTCCAAGGGGCCAATACCGTGGTCTTCGAGCGCGAGCACCGCCCCCGGGCTAGATGCCATATGAGTAATAACATTTCTAACTTTTTTTTTGGTTTGATTCACCCAAAACAACAAAGAACAATAAATAGAAATCGAAAATCGTCCGTTTGAAAAAAATCCTGCATCGTCTCATAGTCGTGCGGGTATCTTCGAAGTATGCATTGTGCTTAGAACAACATCATAGCGCAACCCCCATTTGACGAACAACTTCAAGACCAAAACCATCATAACAACACGCCATCTCAACATTTATTTCTTAACCTTTAAGCAATTGTACTTCGAGCACGAGCCGTAAAAAAGGCCCCAAATTAACATCCATTCTCTCCAGCGACCAAGAGGAAATTCGTGGTTGCAAAAATCCCCATAATGTTCGTCGTGATCGACCAGATCAACGCCACAAAAAGATATCCGACAGTGAGCATACCAAACAACGTGCTCGATCCACCGTCATGTTTCAAATCCTGTGTCTCCATCTGCCTTGGTAGCAGGAAGAGAAAGAGCCACGACACTACACTCATTCCATACATGAGCAGCACTGCCTCCGTGACGTCGCGACGTACCGTGTAGTCATCGACTTGCACTCGCTCATTGCTCAAGCCCCACAGCCAATTATCAACGACTTTGGTTAGCGTGGCTGCAAATGGAGAAGAGAGAATTGCCACGATCGCCAGTAAGCCGTACATGGCGCCTTCGTGTCCTTCGCCTATCAGCTCTACAGTCACAAAGGCACCGATAAGAAAGTTGATGCCGGCTGGAACATTCAAAGCAATTGGTAATCTCAACCAGAACCATTAAGATCAGAAGACATCCCACGCCGTAATGAAGGTACAGGCAACACCAACAACAATTACCAATGCTCCTGTTAGCACAGTCATTGTGCGCCAGTTCCAGTTAAGACCATGCTTCCCGTAATAACGATACCTCCCACGACTACAGCATTTCCAATGACATCACTGATAGTGTTGTTGATTGGAGTGACCCTCACCATGTACAATTGTATTGGAGAGCCAGCAGTATACGAGAAGTTCGCAAATATACTGCTGAAGAAAGTGTAGAGCACAATTTGGTATACAGCACGCGCCCTCATCGCGTACCACAGGTCGTTTACACACTTCAAACATGTCACCGGAAGTTTAAGGGATTCCTCAATGTAGAACCACGCGACGGGGATAATTGGAGCCGTACAAGCTGCAAGCACCAGCATACGCTGCGGGAACGCGAGCGAGAAGTCAAATGCGCCTCCGTATTCATTTCCATTAAACGCAACACCTACCAAAATCTGACCGATTGTGGCCGCGAAGGCTCGTGTGGCGTAGATGGTAGACTGCACTGGCCTCGTTCTTCTACAGGCTCTCGTTGAACCAGCTCTACCACGACGCCATCGGCACACACATCCGACAGAACATACCCAAAGACAGCAAACATCATAAGAACAACGTATATACTGTCTCCTGAGGCAGCTCACGGTTCAATCTCAATCCAATAATCGGGTGTGTAGTCGCTGGGTAAAATGTATCGATCGGACGGGTCCAGGAAGTATGGATCCCCAACGCGACTACACCCCATTGCAAGGAGCATTGCAACACAGATTGTCCACCCGATGATCTTGTATGGTCGATGTCATGTAACTACATAATGGGATGCAATCAGAGAGAACACCGTAAAGCACCTTAAAGCTCCATGGAAGTACTACCAAAGTGCTAGCGGTAACCACCTGCGTTCCACTGGAACTGAGGTACTCCTGCATAAATGGATATATCGTTGATGGTAAATATATGGGCATCTTTAGCAAGCTGAAGATACGCTTTTCACAATACGAAGATTGAGTACACAACAACACAACGAAGTCGGCTCGAGCAGGCCACGGACCACACACAGCACAGTGTAGAAGGATAGACCTCATTTGTGATTTTACTCCTCCAGAAAAACTCACCTCAACTCACCCTAGCACGGGCGCAGGCGTCCGTGCGATCGATCCGATAAAATCAATGCAACAGTATGTGGAACCCCACGAGGACGAAGTGTTGAAGGAAACCGTAGACTATTCCGACCGCCGCATACTGCAACACGAGGCCGATGTGCTGCTTGGTAAACAGGTTGGGAGACCCACCTTCGCGCAACGCTCCAAAGTCATCCACCTCTGGAAGCTGCTTAACCTTCACGTTCTCGTATTCTTTATATGTTTCTTTTAGGTAGCACATCGACACTCGCTCTGTCGACATTGCTGGCTTGCTGGGCGTTGAACCACGCCATCTTCGTTTCGCCGTGGATACACAAACGAATATTTTTGTCTCGTAACAATTATTGTGATTGAGTAGAGCTAATGTATGTTAAACCCTCTCAGTTCATGGTCATACGGGCATCCAATTAAACTTAAAATGAATGATATGTGAGGTGATCATCTTCTTAAACGCAAAACATTCTACATAAAGAATTGTGCTCACCTTGACAAGAGACTCTGAGCACATCAGATGAAGAGGACCGCTTCCTTGCTCCTTGGTCAAGAGAATCCCAATTCTAGGCGTCGAAACGAACCCATCTACCCACCAGCTGCTCTATTTCCCAGGTGTGACTTTCGCTTTTTTT